ATTCCCAAACTTCCAACTTGGTTTTTCAACTTTGATGAGAATCCTGGCTTGTTTTACTCTCAAACGCTTGTTTTCATGTTTCTTCTACCTCATATTCTCAGCTATTCTAAACCTTACAATGTTTTCCATGAAATCATAGAGGGGAAAATTCCAAGGTGCTACACTTAATATCAGTTTGGTCTTCCCCAACTATATAAACTTAAATACACCTAATAATAAGGGAATAAGCCACAACTATAAGTTAATTTGTCTTCACAGGTGAGCTTTCTGAAGACTGCTTCTCTGAAAAGAATATGGGAAAATATGGGAGTAATTTTTCATACTTAAAAACAAATACAAAAGAGAAACTTATTCTATCAAAGTAGTTTCAGAAAGCCTCAACTTCAGACATGCAATTTTTTAAGGGGATAATTGAAGTGATTTTTGAAGGAAAAATAAAAGAAAGAATGGAGAAATTGGGTTTAAACTGCTGGAGTTGTCTCTACTTACTTCTAGGGAATATGTTCTCTGAGAACTCTTCCAGTGAAATAACCTTTTAAACTCTAAAACAACTATTTCTAACATTTACACATTATATATAGAATTATAAGATTCTATAAATACATCAACATTTTTATATGGATATGTTACTTTCCATATCCTTATTCAATATGGCAGATCTTATTAATTTTTCATGTTCAACATTAATGTAACAGTGTTTAGTTTTTATGTATGTATTTTATCCCTCAAAACATTTGAACTATATATGTAAAATGCTGTTAATTAAGATAAATTACTCATTGTTTCTCATTTATATGTCATTTACTACACAAATGTTATGTTCAACTATTTCTTCAAGTAAAAATGAATGTTAATGTGCTCAGCTATTCTGGTACTTAGTTGAAAATTTTCATCCTTAATTCTCATCCATAAATCATGGAATAATCGACTTTTAGATATGAGTCTTTTGGTTTAAAGGGCTAATCTAGTTCCAGACAGGATTGTTGTGAAAAGTTAATAGTTTATATTTACAAAACTATATCCTGATAAAAGTCATAACCTTAGAAAAAAGCAAAACTCTCAGAAGCTTCCATAAAAGAGGACAAATTATCTCTTAAACTACAATAGCTTCTCAGTTCCAGTATCTTCACTTCTGGAATTTAGAAGACAGTGGAGGGGGTGGGGGAGCATAGCTCAGTGGTAGAGTGCATGCTTAGCATGCATGAAGTCTTGGGTTCAATCCTCAGTACTTCCTTAAACAATAAGAAATGCTGACAGAGTCCTGTACTCCTCTTAGTAAATGACATCATCATCCAAATAGTTTAAGTCCCAAGTGTAGGAATTATTGTTAATTTTTCTTTTTCCTCATGACCCATATCTAGACTACTTGTTCATTTAACAAACATTTATAACCTGATATATTTTCACTCTTACGGAATTTACACATTTTGGCTATGTGCAAATTTCAGTGATGCTACACCAAAATTACAATTCACCCCCTTATAAAGAGCTACCATTCCACTACAGCCACAATTTTCTTTTGTTAGGATAACTATGAGAGACTACTAAATGCTTTTCCTTTTCATTCTTACTCATCTATAAATGTCTTCATACCACCTCTGGATTGTGACAGTCGACTGTTCAAAGTACTTTAATAACTTTCCATTTTACTTAAAATCCAAACTTCTTACTTTGCTCTTCAATGCCCTTTGTGGTCTCAGCCCATACATTTCCAAACACATTTCCTATCTACCATTTTCAACTTTAGTCACTGACCTGGAAATCTCATAAGTCTTTGTGTTTCTAGAACAATGTGAGTTTTTTTTTTTTCTTTCTGCCTTGGAGCCTTTGCACTGGCACTTCCCTCTGCAAAGGAAGCCTTGCTATGGCTGTTCCTTCCTCTGTTTCAGTTCTAAGCTCAAGCATCACTAATTCAATGAAACTTTCCTTGACCAATTATCAAGTCTTCCAGACTCTCATATTTACTTTTTTAAAGCATGTAGCATTAAACGTAATTTTTAATTATATTTTCATTCATTAAATATCCCTCCATCCCCATCTCCTACTATGTACACTAAAATATAAGTCCCACAAGATCAGAAACTTCCTTTTCTTATACCCTGATTTATAGCTGAAACAGAAAAGTGACAGAATTACTGGAAGAAGAAACATGATTTTCATGTTTGGAATGGATATTAAATTGACTTTATTTATAAGTTGAGAGTCACAAGAATAATTTCAAGAGTACCTTGAACTGTACTATTTTCTTTTCAATCTGAATTGAAACAGAGAAGGATTCCAAAAAAAAAAAAACTAACCTCATAAATTTCATAGTAGTAGGTAGCTTTTAACCACATGAGACTCGTTAGCTGATATCCTTTTTCACCTAATGGCTCTTTGTCTCTGAACTTTCTTGTAATTTTGTCTCTCTTGAGGTCACTAGAAGACTTCATGCTAGGATATTAAGCTAATCCCAACCAAAACCCCACAATTTCATGTGGAAATATCGAACGGAGTAATAAAATACTGCGGTAGAAAGAAACAAGCTTGAACTCACTGTTAGATGATCTTATTTATTCTGGCCTGGTGAAGCATCTGTTGTTTTTGTTGCTGCTGTTGCTGTTGTTTTCAATGAGCTAAAGATAAAAAGAATGTTAAAATTACTTACATATCAAAGTTGATTTTTACTCTCAACTCAATTTATTGGTCATTCATTAAAGACGATTTAACTGAAGAAAGGTACCTAGTAAATCGTGTCTGAGTCTAAGATGGTAAATTTTATGACAGTGTTCCTAATATATAAAACACTACAACTCTATGTTTCACAAATGCTAGAAAGAAAGAGAATCAACTTTAAATTAGTGAATAGGTGAAATGAGAAAAGATATCTAACACCAGAGAGGTTCAAAAAGGCGAGCATGCAATAAGAATGAATTATTTTGTGAAGCTCTGCTGCTAAATAAGTATTACATCACTTTTTGTCTCTCACTAATTATAATGGGCAAATTTATTGAGTAAACAATTCAAATTATAATCAATTTTGTATAACTATAAAAATCATCCCTTAAATATATAAACATATGTAGGATATTCAAAAGTAGAAATCCATAATTTTGCTCTCTTTTAATTCCACCAATGCCATTTATTTTAGAACAAAGTATAGCCAGGATAGACTCTGATTTACATTAAAATATTAAACCCCGTTGTGAAATGAAATTCAAATATAACACACTTATAATTACATTTGTGTGTGTGTGCATGGGTGAGTGTGCAAGTATATGATTCCTTGTCTATAGTATAAAAAATAAGTCATTTAAAACAATACTACATTAGTAGAAACAAAGAAATAAATTTTGCTCCTCATAAAAAATTAATGAATGTGATAGTTCAAATGCAGACTGATAAAAGTGCACTGTATTTGTAATTCAGTTTCTGTTGCAAGGTTTCTGATTAACAGTTTTTAGTAATGACCCCCAATAACAGAAACAAAAAGTACTACCCTCCTTTTTTAATATGCTAGTTTTATTCTTAGAAATTTTAATAAATATTACAATCTTACAAAATAGTTTGTGTTCATTTGGAAGATGAAATGATCAAGTATTTCACCTATGTGACTGACAGCAGAATACACTCAGGACCAATTTTCACTTTTTCAGACTGTCCTGCTGTATGTATGTAGGATGTCTGACATATTTGACCCTTTGCCAAAAAGTACCCCAATCCTTATAATGACAACCAAACAACCAATAAGGGTACCACTGACCTGGAACGGGTTGGAAAACTATGGCCCGCTGTGCCAAATGTGACCTATGGCCCCTTTTGTATGGCCCATGAGCTAACAATGGTTTTACATTTGTAAAGAGATTAAAGAAAACAAACAAGACGAAGAAGATATGCATCGGAGATACCATCTGTCCCTTACAGAAAATGATGCTTATCAATCCCTGTACTTGTTCCATTGTGATACATATTCTGTCTGCCTTGTTCGTTGCTATAATAGGACTAGAAATGCTTCCAAAACATGGAAGGGACACAATTAATATTTGTGTAAAGGCAGGGGAGGAGAAACTGTGATTAGTGTAAGAAGACTATAAAAAATTAAACAGTGAAAGGAATTTAGTAATCATACTAAAGATGGTAAAGAGGATCAAAATGGTTAAATTAATTCATCAAAGAACTCAGTTAGGACTGAAAAGCCAACCTATTTTATCTATGACTTCCAGTATGTCATTTATGCATTTATGTATATGTATGTGTATACAAAATAATACAACTTTATATGCTACAGTACACAAAATGTTATGTCCTGTTTTTTTTTTCCTTGCATTTTTGGTAAGGATTTTCCTATATCATTAAGTTATTAGACACATGTTTTTTAATATGCACTTCTACATAGTACAATGATTTGCATCCTGCTTTTTCTTCTATTTTTATTTTCTTATTATAAAATAATATCACAATATTAATTGGAATATGATTCTACTAGTATTTTTGTATCTATATCTATACTTACATATAGTTAACAAACCAAGATACAAGACACATCAAAGTGAACTGAGGAAGAAGTATAAGGTAAAATAAAATCTGGACTTAAATAATAAAACTTATGGTATTGAGTAACACGAAATTAAAACCACTGTAGAAAGAACCATTGCCAGATAAAAATTATTAATTCATTTTCCCTTGGTGAAGCTCTGCAAGAGTTTCATTATGTTGATTAATGGATGGTTACAAATGGTTGAGGATGGTTCACTGAATTACATACAAATTGGTGACACTTGGTGAGGTTCGCCATATCTTACATCTTAGTAAGGCTGTTAGTTACACAGAAGCGGCACAAAAGATGTCTACTTCTAAACACAAATTTTCCAGACTAGGTATTACATTATTATTTAATCAATATATTTTCTCTCTTTATTTTGTTGCATATGTAAGACTGCCTATATAATTAAGCACACCTTCACGTCATTCTGTTTCCCATTTGCCTATGTGATACTTTGAGGGGTAATATAAGTAACACTTATGTCAGCGATTGGAAAGTGGATTCACATTGAAATACTCATTTATTTAAAACTGGTAAATTCTTTACAATTAGAAATACAACTAAAATATCCCTACTACCCTTGCCTTTATTGCGCCCGCTTCAGCAGCATATACGCTAAAATAATCTTGCCTTTATTGAACTTATTGTATCCTCTTATAATTAGTATTTTTATCTAAAAGATATACACTAGTCAATAAATATTAAAAATGTATTTAAAGGCAACGTGCAAGAAGTATATATTGTGTGTGCATGTGTATGTTTATTTTTCTGTGTCTGTGCATATGTATTTGGCATCTGTGGATCTGGTGTGCCTTTTGCTTAGGACAAATGTACCTTAAATAAACCTTCAACTATAACTTGCTTGTTCCTACCTTATTGAATTCCAGCATGACGATTTACATAAATTCAGCATAGTTATTTTGTATGCAGCTTTCAGTAACTCCCACATATTCTGCACACTGTACAGAGTATAGTGAGTTTATTAGGTGGGTTTATAATACATTCATTCTCTAGAAGAGGGGAATGCTTGACTCTCTAGAATTATGAATTTATTTGGACACTACTATTGATTATATCAAAGCAAAAGTGTTTTTGAAATTATTTCTTCTCAGAGAATGGCAAACCAACCATTTAATTCTTTCAAAAAATGGAGTAAAATTCTTTGGTGTCCTAACAAACAAATATAGTATTGATTATGCCTTCTACTCAAAAATGGTTAATCTTTAATGGTGTTTCATTCAGGAATAATCTTTATCAAAGACTGTTCAAAGCAAAGTTTCCTAAAGTCTTGTTCTTTCAGAATATTGTCATACATCATTTTTTATTTTAACTTTTCTGAGAAATGTTGCATATCCAATTTCATTCTCATAAGACTACACTATTATAATGTAAGCCCCTACAAAATACAATTAAATTCTTTTCCTTACAGTGAAGTGCATTGACTTGATCTGCATTTAAGCAAAATATAAACCATTAGGACCAAAAAACTTCTTTATTATTTTGATGCCAAAGCTTTCTCAATCCAGCCCAAATTTTTGTAACATTTCATGAAAATTAATCTCTGTTGTATTATTTAATATTAATAAGAGTAACATAACATTATAACAATATAATTACTACTTATTAACAAAGTAACATTAAGAATAAGAGTAGTTTTAACAGGGTAATTTCAATAACATTATTACCAATGTTAAATAATTAATTAAAAAAGAAAAAGTTCTTATATATATTATTGACATTTAATGGTGGCTCAGAAATAACAATGTTCTGTGTACTTATTCTTAAGAATGTTGGAGAAACTTGCACAATATTAAAAATAAAAATGTTCAACTATCACTAAGTACATTTTTATAACTAAATTAATATTAGCATGTAGAAATAACAAAAAAAAACTGTTATTAGATATTCCACAGAAGTTAGCAAAGGCTTCAATATATTTGAGAGAGTAGAATTTTCTCACTATTTTAGTATTTAATTCTATTACCTTTGTCATTTTCTGAATTATTGTGAGTAAAATCAAGAACTCAGTACTCATCTCAAGCAATTCTGGACCATTATGTAAAGACATTTCTCTCTCATATAGCAAAATTACTTGGATCAGTCACCATTGCAATTGATTTTAGTCATATTTTAATGAAAAGTGAACTAAAATCCTCCTTGTCAATAATGTTATTTTAAACAAATAAAATAGTTTAAAATAAACATTAAACATTTGTATGATTAAAAGAGTGAACAATTTTTATATTTCAGTCATTTTTTTCATACTTAGATTTCTATTCAGGAAAAATAAATACTTAGAGTAGCTTAGAGTGACCCACATAACTGACATTTATTTTTTGTTTCTTTTCTGGGTTTTATTTTGAATGTGATCTGTCAGTTGGTTCACATTCTGTCACCGGATTGATTTAACCCCATTTCAAACAACAGAAAGTGCTGACTATGCTCTCTAGAAGTTAGGAATGGGGAACAGGGTAAAGGAGAGAAAGGAAAAAATTCTTTTTGATTTACCCACTCATATTTTAGATTTACAGTTTTATTAATTTAATTTCTACATTGTTATTTATTTTCAATGAGTGTTTTTTTTGTTATCAATTCAGGCATCCCTTAACTTCTCTCTCTGGGAAACAAATTCATTCCATTATCTCTTTGGACAGCAAAGAGAAAAAAAGTCTGCTTTTTTTCCTCTTCCTTTGACATAAAGAATCCTTAAGATTTTTCACTAAAATATATGACCTTGACTCACAAATATCTAAATTATTTAATACCTCATTTATTTATTAATATATCAAATAATTGTTCACATTTCTATATTTAGAAACATTATTTTATTATGAATATCAGAGGTTAGGAATGTGTTTGCAATTTATAAATGAAATCTAAATTTCCTTAAGAAAGAAAAATTTTAAGTGTTAGTCTAAAGACAATACAATAGAGGAATCAGCAACCATGAAGATTTAAATTCATAATATTGGGGATAACCACAGCAAACAAGGAGCCAACAAAATGAAAAAGGGTGATGAGCCCTAAATACCTGATTGAAAATTCCTAACAAAATAAATACATCATTCATAACAACATTGTGAAATGAAACTTATTTCAAGACATGCAAATATCTCTCTCTCTCTCTCTCTCTCTCTCTACTATATATCTTGTAGCAGCATGACTCTTTTACAAGCATGCCTCGGCACAGGATTATTCATAGTACAGAGCCACTAAAATGAGTATTTTTCTTG